ATATGTTTGGTCTGTGTATCATGTGGTGTGGGTTGGTGGCTTGCATAAGACTGTAGTTGTGTTTGGTCTATAAATAGTATATTATTATATTATAATATTATATTACAGTATAAGTCATATGTTATAATAATCATAATCTTAAATATATGTAGTATTACAATACTATATATACATTTAATCATACACTACAACCTATACTCATACATACTATATCATGTATATATATATATATTACTATTCTATATTATCTATACATGTATTATATTATACATACACAACAACAACACACCATCACACACACACACATCACTCACACACACACACACACACAACACACACAACACAACAACAACACACAACACCACACAACACACACACACACACACACACCACGCACACCACACAAACATACACAACAAATATATATATTATAATTACATTATTAATATACAGATATAATTAATATTATATAATATTTATTTATATATATCATTGCTTGGACTAACATTGCTGACGTACTTGTGCTACATTAAATTGTTAACTAGTAAACATCCACAACACATGCAAATTATTATAATATATATAATATTATTATACATATAATATATATTATATATTAATGATACATATATATATATATGATATATTTAGTATAAATATATACAATCTTAAAATTATATATATTATTATAGTATAATATCATAATATATATATACATATATGAGCAAACTTGTAAGGAGTAACAAACTTTATAATGGATATATATAGATCATATATATGATATATATGTATATATATACATATACATATTATATATATTTATTAAACTAGTACTATAGTTATATGTAATTATATACTCTTCTATATTAGAATTTCTATTTCTCATCTCATAATCACTAAATATTCTTTTCAGTTATACTATATCGTAGCTATATTTAAAAATGTATTTCTATATAAGATACTTGGTTAACACATTATAGTATGATCATATTACATTTCATAATATATTTGATTAGATATAGTAGTTGTCGTGATAGTGTGTGAATAATATGTGCGATGCTATTTCCGATGCGTTGTCACTATCAAATTAAACTCTGTCTTGGGTATATGTGGTGGTATTGTATTGATACAAAAGTGAAGTTACCAGTTTAAACACTATTTCCATGTGTATAAAGCTATATATACTGTGTGATACGAATAATATAATGATTAAATATTAGTGATACAGTATATTATATTATATATAAAGAGAGTATACAATGTATTATATATATTAACACTATATTAATACTTATTAACATATCAATATATATATATATATAATAATATTAATATATAATATAATTATATAGTAGTCTACCATATAATATATGACTATATATTTTAGTATATATATATATATTTAAAATACATTTATATATATATATATATAAAAGTTATATGTATATATTACTTTATTAATTATATAATTCATATTATAATAATAGCATGCTATATATAGTCTTAAATATATTATATAATATATACTATATATTATATATTTTATAATAATTATATTATATGTAGTGTTATATGTAAATATATATTTATATTTTATAAATATATATTATGTACTAGTGTGTGATGTGCAGTGCTTTTTATAGTGGTTTATTATGTTAAAGACAATACAAACACACCAACACACACAATCGACACACACAACACACACACAATAATTATTTTATAAATTAATAAGAATATATTAACATTAATTATATATATATGTATATTAAATATATATATACACACACATATAACACAACATATCAACATTCATCAACAACACACACTCACACACACACACATTATATATATAAATATATTAACTATTATTAACATAAATATATATTAATATTATATATAAGTGTTGTATTTGTGTGTGTGTTGTAATTAACATAAATAAGAGTTTACAAAATTGTGTGTGTGTGTGTTGAGTCGTGATAAGTATGTAATAATACTATATACGACTAACCACGCAATACATTCATATTAACACGCATAACACCATAATATACTAACGCTATATATATCAACCGCACCTTCATCAACGACTCACGCATCACTGCACAACACACAAACACAACAACACATACTATATATATTTAATTATATATTAGTATGAATATGAATTATGTATTGTATGTATGTATATGTAACTATATTATATATGTATATTACCTATATGTATCAAACATAACATTATACAAACTTGCAACCATGCTACACTCGCGCATAACACATCAACTCAAACCATCACGCACACGCCATCAGCTACACACGTCACACGCATACGGCACACCATCATAAACAACTACTACACAACACACACACATACATACATAATAATATATGTGTGATGTGATGTGTGTGTTGTGTGGTGTTGGGTGTGTGTTTGTAGCGTGTGTCGTTATGATGCGTGTGCCGTTGGGTGTGTGTGTGTGAATGTGTATGTGGTATATCGTTGTTGTGATAGATAACATTAATAGTGTATATAATACTAAAATATATAATGTGTACGTCTAATATATATCTAATTTTATAATATATGTGGTGCGGTGGGGCATGTGCTGTTGTCATTTCTCACTCACTCGATCTTTTTTGTGTGCTTGTTGTGGTGTCGTGTGCTTTGTTGTTGTGTTCGAGTGTGTGGTGTGGTGTCCTATATGTATTTATCACTTAGTATGTTAGTGGTGCGTGAAATATAAGTTATATAATCTACACTCCTATATCTTACTAGTATAGTCGTTATTATTATAGTTATTGTTATACCTAAATATCTACTCCATTAAAATGTCATTCTCACTACTTTACTATATGAACATAATAGTTATATACATACCTAATTATAATATTATATGTGTTTGTCTCGTGGGATGATGTTGTGTATGTTGTGTGATTGTGTGTGTTGATTGTTGTATGTATGTACTCATTATCATATATTATTTATATATATTCAAAACCAATTTAATAAAGTATTATAATATATAATATATATATTATATATTATACATGTATGCTCGGTAGTGCAGCCTATAATATACAACAATAATATACCATTCATATTTCATCAACACACAATACATATACAATGTATGTGTAACGCGCCTATATAATTATTTCTATTAGCTTGATGACAGTTCGTATCGTTGTATTTGTTGTATACGCTCATCTAAGACTTAGTAATATGTATTGACAAGTAATTAATGATGACCTTCATTAATTAATAAAAAAATAGACTGGTTAGCAATGCTGTAGTTTTGAGTATCTGACGTTTTTGCCTGTTGACAGTTCTATGTCTATTAATTTTCTTGACAATATTGCTACGGAAGCTCCTCAGTTGAGAACCTGTGTCGATGGGAATTCACCTTATGTACCCACTCATATCCATTTATTAAATTCATTACAATTAATATGTTGAAGAAATTCTGCAGTATCATAGATTTTATCTTTACAATGCAAAATATTTTTCAATCAAGAAGTAGCGTTCTAGCCAATGTGTTAAACGTTTTAAAGTCTGTTAATTACATCTGCCGCAAGTTTGTCTTATTTAGCCTAATCTCATCAGATGTATACAGGTATTTCCCGCTATTTCATACACACAAGTGTATTCGTGCAATAAAACTTCACCTCTTGTAGGTGTGACTTCGACAATCGGTATTATTTTAGTATGTATTGTTAGAACTCTTGGATGTGATTGGTTTTTTACTTGTATTTTTGTATTGAGACTATATAGTTTCATCCTAAATAATACAAAAACCCAGAATAAATACCTTAAATTTAGCAATTAAGCGTGCCCAATCTTGTCATACATTAATTTGATAATAATGGTTGTGGTGTGTGATACATTAAACAAGATGGCAATGACTAATTGTGAGAGTCAGTAAATTGAAATTTAATGTTTAAGTATCAAATTATTTGTTTGCAGTTAGATTTGTCATCTGTATTCGATGTGTGTGATAGACAGAGATATTATAGTATGTAAGTATTATATGTATTGTTGATGAAGACCTCGCTCAAAAGTATATGTTCTAAGTTCATTTTACATACGATTCTTTTATTTATCCTCTTTAGTTGCTGTACTTATTTTGCCAAACGGAGTTCGTTGTGCTTGTGCGTGTGAGGCTGTTGCGTGAGATGATAAGACATCGAGACGATAGAACTGTTATGTGTTTGTTCGTTTATGCGACCACATCAAAACTTTTGCCATTAATCGTGTAATTTCTTTCTAATTCGTTTTTCATAATACGTGTCCGCTATATCTGGTAATCCTTGGATTCTTCACTCTCTACAGGACAAATATGTGCATTTTTATGCGCTAGAAGCCCCTAACCCCCGCATGCTTCGAGGGAAAATAATGTACGTGTAAAGATTATAGTTATTTATACAAGATATCAGTTCACTACATATTAGTTAATGCATGGCTTATCCTTGTCTTTACCTCGCTCGTCTCCCTCCCGTGAGTGGGAGCTTGCCCCTAATTCACTGCTCATCAAGATTAAGTATCCTTCATGTATCCATTGGGGTGAGTAGACTGTTTGGTGAGAGGTCTTGTGTGTGTGTGTGTGTGTGGCAAGCGTGTCTATTCACTGCTTATAAATAGCTCTCTCTCCATAAGTAATAGGATGAGCATTCCTATGTTATACGTTAATAGGTAGGTAGATGTGGTTAGGTGCCCGGTCAGTGGCCTCCATGATGTTCGTCACAAATCGGGCTATCAGTTTCTCCCATGCATTGACTATATATATAACTCGATTCTTTTTGTGTGTGTTGTAGATAGTGTGATCTGTTTGTAGATTGTGTGTTGTTCTCCCAATTGTTTGATCAATAATATTTCATGCTCATCCCTGCTGGTCCAAGAATGTTAAGTGTAGTTTTCGAGTGATGGTCTTATCATGCAGCAATAATTACTCATATATATATAGGCTTTTCAGGTTATTGCTGACGCTCACTTTAATTCGACCATGGAGACATCAGGTAGAAACCTATGTCCACAGAGGATGATCAGGTGTGTGTGTGTGTAAGTGTGAGCAGAAGTTATTAGGCCATCCATTTATTATAAGACATTATGCCCCCTCCACCTAGCAAAACCTCATGCCTATGCTTCCACTTTTTCTTATTACCCTATTCAGTCAGGTCGCAACAGACTTGTTCCAGCTCAAGACCAGAACTATGCTGATAGATTATGCGGATAGATGACAGGTTGTTTTGAAAGTGGAACATCTGCCAGGGAGACACTGCAAGCATAGTCTCATAGCCATCTTCAGGAGATGGTTCAGGCAGTTTGTAATTCCAGAGGAGCTATCATGTGATGGGGACAAATCTTAACCCACTTACGATGGTTGTCCGCATATTGTGACACCCAAAAAGTAAACATTACCGGGTATCCGCAGGTGTGACACTAGATCAGAGCTCGTACTCTGATTTTATCACCTGTGCAGCCATCACGCAGGCAGGTTGCCGGGACTCGCCCATGCGCCAATTTTGAAACCGCCCGGAAAATATAATTTTGCTTATAAATGTATCGTCACTAGTGGGTTAACAGCCAAGAATCAAGAGTATGGCTGCGAGTTTCTTCCTGCTCACAATCCCCAATCTTAATGGGTATGCAGAAGTGGCTGCAAATCTGCCAAGAGGATATTATTTAACAACACTACAGTAAATGGATCCTGGACATTTTGATGCCGCCACTAAAAGCCCTCATTCAATAACTTCAACACCCCCCCTATAGAACTCTGATGCACTATCATCCACAGCTGCTGACTAGCATCAGTTAAGAGATGCCGTTCCAGTAGACAGTTCAAGCTCAATTTGCTATAGGTTTGTGCAACAGCACTGGTTTTTGGTGTTTGCTGAGGAATAGTGAACGAGCCTTGCACCACATTGGGAGAAAAGTGATGTGTCAGCCCAAACCTCAATCATCTTTGAACCAGGAAAGCGCATCCCTATTCAGAACCCTGGCAGTAGGCGTTGGAAGCTTGGGCATTATTGTAGAGCTGAATGCACCTCGACCGTATTTGGTACAAGCTTTGCTCCGCAGTGAAGGAAAGCCACAGTAATTAAGAAACAGACGACACCATGTCCACTATATGTGAAAACACCAAACCAGCTCACACAACAACGATAAGGAAGCAGTAACCAATTCTCCCCCTCCACCCTTGCAAGATTGAGACACATCAGACGTGCCCCGCAACATTTGAATGGTTACATATTGTTCAATGCATGGAATAACAAACTACTCATGAATCTGTTTATTTCTTTGTGTATGTAAAATTGCATTGATTAGTTATTGTTACATAAATAAAAAGGGCTAATACCTTTGCAAATATTGGAATACTTTTATGACAAAGATATTTACTTGCAGAAAGTAATGGAGAAGCAGCTCCAACTACACAGGCTGCTAAGTCTATCAAAGCAATAGACAGAACAACAGTTCATAAGATATGCTCTGGTCAGGTACGTACATAATTTAGAAATGGTCTTGTTAACTGTGCTCCTTTCTAAGTTATATTCCTATTCTATTATTATTATGTTCAACTTAAAGCATGTCAGTAGTTTGCAACCTTTTAGGGATAAACCTTATAAGGTGAGTTTAATTTTTACACTCTATCTCACTTTTTACTTCATTATGTTGTTTCAAATGTTTTAATATGCATTCCTCTATGCAGGTTGTTTTAACACTTGGAACAGCTATCAAAGAACTTGTGGAAATAGCATATGCTGGAGCTACAAGCGTAGAGATCCGCCTTCGAGATCATGGCATTTCCTTGATTGAAGTTATAGATAATGGAAAGTGGAAGAGAGTGACTTTGAAGGGCTGAGTACGTATTACTTACTCTCCAGATTGCTGAAAATCTGTAGAAATTTTGTTTTGAACATCTGTGTGTAATATTCCTTTTTCCTGTCGGTTCATATAATGATTGACTTCTTAAGTATTGGTAAATAAAGTATAGTCATGTTTAACAGAAGTTATCAGATTTTTCAATAATGTTATATTATATTTTACTAATAATGTCCATCCTTTCCTCAAAGCTTTAAAACATCATACCTCAAAGATACAAGACTTTGGGGACTTGGTTGGAGTGAAAACCTTTGGGTTCCGAGGTGAAGCCCTGAGTTCCCTGTGTGCCCTTAGTGACCTCACAATTGCAACCCGGCACGAAAGTCAAGCAGTTGCCACTAAACTAGTTTATGATCATAATGGCAAACTTATTACCAAAACTCCTTGCCCTAGACAGGTAATTTGCATCTATTGATTGTTGATTAATTTAGTTAGAATTTGCAAGGAAAGTAAATTGAAATTGACTTTTTCAAATTCAACCATCCTTTTAGTTGATGAAAATAATGATGATGATTATTTTAACAGGTTGGAACAACTGTCACTCTGCAGAACCTGTTCTCAACCTTGCCGGTAAGACACAAGGAATTCCAGCGTAATATCAAAAAGGAGTTTGGCAAGATGGTACAGGTCCTGAATTCATACTGCCTAATATCCACTGGAATTAGGTGAGTTGTCTAAGCCTATTTTCATCTGGCCAAACTGTTGTCCTTTGAATGTGTCATCAGATGTTTAAGGGTTTGAAGTAAATCATATATTTTTTGTTTCTTCTTTTTATTTGTAGGATATCATGTACAAATCAGAGTGACAAGGGCAAAAAATCAGTTGTGCTGTCGACAAATGGACATCCAACAATAAAAGAGAACATCTCATCAGTATTTGGAGCTAAACAGGTAACTCGATTTCTCCTCATATCTCTTTCTCTCTCCTGTCTCTCCTCTCTTGCTTCTCCTCTCTCCTCTTTCTAACCCACTCCCTCAAGTATCTTTCTCCCTTCTTCCTCAACTAACCCACTCCTCAACCACTCTTCCACTTCTCCCTTTTCTGTCTCTCCATCTTCCCTTCGAATTCTCCCTCCCTGTGTCTCTTCCTCTCTCTGTCTCCAACTCTGCATCCCGGGCAAATGCATGAGTAGTAAGTAGGGATAAAGGAAATGTGTAGTCAGCTGAAGATCCTCCAGAAGATTTTTGGTTGACCATGTGTTTCATACAGAAAACTAGAGACACATCTCCTTTAGATGTTCATTTATGTTCCTGATCCAGTAACTATTTGACTTTTTTCTTTTTTTAACCTGTCCCTGGAAGTTACTTGGTTGCATTTTATCCCTTGCTGCCCCCCAAAATGGGACTCTACTCTGCATCACTGTTTTTCTCTAATCTTTCAGTTTGTATGGTTCAAGAGGCTGTACACAGCTATCATTTTCTGAAGTTCTTACTATTGTTATTTCTTGTTATTGCTATCCTTAGCAAGTTGATGCTGACTTTGTGGATAATTGGGTGAACCATAGAAAACGGATTTAGAAATCATTTAGATTTCATAACTGATTTTTGAAATATAGACTTTTTTAGTGAATGTATGTATGATTCACATAGATAGATAGTTTACAATGTCCAATTTACAACCTTTCTTATAATGTCTTAGGTTTCAAGCCTTATGGAATTCAAGCAGGAAACAGCATCAGATGACATTTTGTCTGAATATGGCATGCAGTGCTCTAGTGAAGATATCAAAGGTAAGAGATTTTGAACACAAATACAGCTGTAGTGATAAACATAACCTCAGTTATAAAGGAAACACTAAACTGAAGATAAAGATCAGAATATACTCTTCACCAAAAATAATTGGGATCCAGTTCTGTATTTTAGAGTTTTCCTTATTTCTGTGGCCCCTTTTCATTTCATCACATAAGATAATGCTGAAAGCAATCTACTGTCAGCATGTGAATATAACTCAGTAAAATATTTGTATGATCAATGAATATTTACAAACTCAATAGCAACTGCAGAAACGATACTATTGGGGATTTAGAAAAGTGCAATTGTAATATTTAACTCATTTCAATAGGGAATAATTGAAATTCCTAAAATAATTAGTGTGCAGTCAGTAGATGGTATCTAAAAGATATGGGTAGAGTATTTTTGTTAATAAATATATCTATACATAAAAACTGACATTTTTATTCTCTATAAATAAAACCGAGGAAGTATTTTGAAAAAACCTTTGTTTACTCAAAATGTAGGGCATTTGATCGTGTGTCTAGGGCTAAACAAAATAATTAGTCATACAAGTCATATTCTTGATATGGTGAATGATTCAAGTTGTTTTCTATTTTGCAGGGAATACATTATTTACCTTGGAGGGATTCATTTCGTCCTGTGAACATGGACAGGGACGTTCAGCTTCTGATCGCCAGTTCTATTTTATCAACTCTCGTCCATGCGATCCAGCAAAAGTATGTTCTGTTGTTGACTGAAGACAATGTTCAGTGAAAACTTTTGATATATTCATGAGCAGTTCAATTAATAATCAATAATTTTATACATTCTGTCTGAAGATACAAAATAAAACAAATGTAATGTCTCTCTCCAGGTCATCAAGGTCGTGAATGAGGTATATCATCAGTATAACCGCTACCAGTATCCTTGCGTTGTGCTAAACATTCGTTTGAAAGAGGATGATGTGGACATCAATGTGACTCCAGACAAGAGACAGATATTAGTCAATAATGAGAAGCTTTTACTTGCAACAATCAAGGTAATTATTGTAAGATAGTAATAACTTTAGTTCAAAGTGTTCAAGGCTAGTAGTGAATTTGCATTGTTCAATCTTTCAAAGACATTTGGCCATATTAATAAAGTTTGGTCATGTACATCTATACATTTCATATTAATAAAAAAATAAAATTTTCTTTTCCAGACCTCAATGATTCGTCTCTATGGAAATATACCAAATTCTTTCAAGATGCAGAACACATCTCTCAACAACTCTTTCACTTCATCACAAAGTAATAATACCCCATCAAGAGCAAGCCCCAGTGTAGGGAGTCCATCCAACAGTAGGATCTCAGCGCTTAGCCAGAAGTTTGGTCGCAAATCTGAAGGCTCTCCACTGTCGAACCTCTCCCCTACACAACCTTCAACTCCACTTTCAGTATTTAGCCTCAAGAGGAGCTTTTCAAACAGTTCTTGTACTGATGAAAGCCAAGTAATAAACGTAAGTTGGCAGTTAGTCTTTGTATGACTAGCAATGTGAGTGTATGATAAGTAAGCTTTGCCACAGAGATTGTTACTATTTGTGTAAGTTGAGTTCCTTCCAATTGATTTTGATGGAGGACTGCTTGAGATGCTGCTATTCCCATAATTATATATAAATTTCTAATTTCTTGCATTATGTGTAAAATTTATACAGACTGACTATTTCTTATACTTGAACTACAAACAAATGCTGATTAATAGCTAATAGACAAGTGATGTTATATATTTTGCTGTGAACTGCACTAATTACATTGCTTTATCTGATTTGCAGAACCAAAACTTGAATCTTTCCTGGCAAAATGCAAGTCTGATCCTGGAAAAAATCCTGTTACCAGCATAAAATCTGAAGAAGACGACAAAAGCTTTCTTTCAGATTTCACCCCACTGGAAAATCATGAGATTGTTACAAATGGAGATAAGAATGATATTGAGAATAATGATGCAGTTAAAGAAGAGTGTGAAGACATGGAAGGTGGAAGGAAGATGGTAAAAAGTGAGATTCTTGAATCTGATGAAAAAGAAATCATGCCACCAGACAGTGCAAATGAGACAAATTCAATAAAAACTGAAGATAACCAGCAGGAAATGTCATTGGTACTGGAATCTGAGCTTGTAAATGGAGATTTTGGTAATTCAGAAGGAAATGACGAGATAGGCAACAGCCAGCAAAGCGACAGTTTTGCAAATAATAACAATGAAAAAAATTCATTAAAAAGTGATGAACTAAGAAATCCTCAGTTATCCAGTGGTTCTTCAAAAGGTCCTGATTTAAAGAGTGGTCTATCTCAATTTTCTAGGTCTGCATCAGTAACATCTCAAAGCTGTAAGAAGGCTCATAGTGCTACAGATAATTTCTTGAATAGTCTTTTAGCAAAGAAATCACAGAACAAATATGTAAAAGAACCCAGCATACCATCTACCAATGGATACAAACATGATGCTGTAGATGTAAGAGAACAGAAAGATGAAGGAACAGTTGAGGACACAGACTTTGCAGAGATCTGGGAAGATGAGTTTTATGAAGATAGTGCACCAGAAGAGGAAAAACAAATGAAAAGACTATTGTGTGTGAAGAGTATGATCCAAATGACTTTATAGCAAACAGAAAATCTAGAACAATTGAATTTAACGTTGAAGACATCAGGAAGAAATTGAACATAAGTACCAGTACTGAAAAAGAAAGACCTGGAGAATTAGTCAGAAAGTTCCGAGCCAAGATTGCCCCAGGTGAAAATACTTCAGCGGAAGATGAGCTGAGGAAAGAGATCTCAAAAGACATGTTTGCAAAGGTAAAATTAATTCTGATTTAGTTTGTGTTCATCACATTTTAATTTTTTATTTATGTAGTGTTATGTGTTTTATTTGATGTAATGTTATGGAATACCATCTGCCAAACAGATCAAATTGGTCACATATTTCTAGGCAGTTGACAGTAATTAATATTCTGAAAGGTTGTTATTTAGTATGCAGCAGATAATTTTTTTACATGTTGATGTAGGCTGCTATGCAGTCTAAGAACTATTTAGATGAGATAGTTGATCATTGATTGTTAAGGATTACATACTGTTTTTGAACTGTGTTGGGAAACTGTCACAAGTACATATATTTAAACTTATTTTTTTGATACATATATATTTATTCCTACTTTTCTTAAATTTTCAGATGGAGATTTTGGTCAGTTCAATTTGGGATTCATCATTGCCCGCTTTGGCTCAGACCTTTTCATAATTGACCAGCATGCAACTGATGAAAAGTACAACTTTGAAACTCTCCAAGCAACTTGCACAATTCAGAATCAGAGACTTATTGCCCAAACAACTGGAACTGACAGCAGCTAATGAGACAGTCTTGTTAGATAATTTGGAGATATTTTTGAAAAATGGATTTGAGTTTAAGATAGATGAAGAGAAACCAATGGGACAAAGGGTGAGCCTAATTTCAATGCCCCATAGCCGAGGTTGGGAGTTTGGACGAGATGACATTGACGAATTGATATTCATGTTATCTGACTCTCCTGGGGTGATGTGTAGACCAACTCGTGTCAGGGCAATGTTTGCTTCAAGAGCTTGCCGTAAGTCTATTATGATTGGTACTGCATTGACAAAAGCACAGATGCAGAAACTGGTTTGCCATATGGGTGAGATCGATCAGCCATGGAATTGTCCGCATGGTAGGCCAACAATGAGGCATTTGATAAATCTTGATATGGTCACTGGATCAAGATGAGTAGTAATGAGTGCTCAGAAATTAACTAATTTTTAGATTTGCTCTTATAAATAGAGAAAAGATTTGATCATACAGGTGACTTTTGTATATATCTTTTTTCGAGTGTAAATATCATATGTTAGTTTTAGAATTCAGTGATCTTTAGGATATATGAAAATTAAAATCAATTCAAATTTTAATATTAATGTGATTTTACTATAAAGAAAAAAAATGTTATATTTTTTATCTCATTTTTGTTTTGTAAAAATTAAAAATTAAGAGAACAAGTAGGGTAATGTGTGTATGTAAATAAAAACTTATATATCAAAGAAAAGAAAATTGTAATAGTGTTGGTAGATTTCTTTTCTATATCTCATAATTTATATTTTGAATTTTTGCTTTTAAGTGTATGTTTTATAAGTAAACCAGATAAAGTGTTTGGGCTTTTATAATACCTTAATCATAGTTTTCATTTATATTTTTTTATGGATATCAGACAGTTCATGGGTAATACCATAATTGTCTCTGGAAATATTTGACAGTGATTTATAGTCCCTCCACTTCCAAGTTCACCACTTCATGTTGTTCATGTGTGAACTGCCAGCTTTTGTATTGAAGCATATACCTTTGTGTGGCCGCAGGAGTCGAAGAGCATGTGAACAGAACTGTATCAATTTATTGCATACTAAAGTATTTTTCTAATTTGAAAAAAAAACATCAATGCACATCTGGATCAGAGAGATGTTATATATTATGAGTAAGACTTTCAGAAAAGATGAAATAAAATAAATCCTTTTAGCTACAAGTGTTGAAAATTCTTGGAATCTCAAGAACACAATTGCAAGCTTTCTGTATGTATACTGATAAAATTAACAAGTATTAGAATGATGCTGCTTGACTAGAAATTGATATTCCTTATTATTATGATTATTAATATTGATGATGATAAAGATACTAATGAAGGTAATATTACTATCAATAATGGTGATGATATTTATTATAAAGACAATGATGATACTGAAATTATAATAACTACATTTATATATATATATATATATATATATATATATATATATATATATATATATATATATATATATAATATATATATATGTGTGTGTGTGTGTGTGTGTGTGTGTTGTGTGTGTGTGTGTGTGTGTGTGTGTGTGTGTGTGTGTGTGTGTGTGGTGTGTGTGTGTGTGTGTGTGTGTGTGTGTGTGTGTGTGTGTGTGTGTGTGTGTGTGTGTGGTGTGTGTGTGTGTGTGTGTGTGTGTGTGTGTGTGTGAATATGTAGATAGATAGATTGATATAATAAATAACCATCAGAACAATTTTTTATAATATTAATATTAGTATTAGTAATAAAGCTGATAATGCAATAAAAGAAAATGCTATAATAATATTAAAAATACTGGCAGTGATGATAAAGTAAAAAGTGTTAATTAAAGGTACTACAGTGAATATAATCAAATAGTAAAATTGTTAATAAATTTGATTAAGAAAATGCCCATGATAGTAAAAATAAAGGTTAATGAACAGTAATAATAATTAACATGATACTTGCAGCAGTCATAGTCATAATGATAGTAGTAGCAGCAGATCTTACATATAATAGAAATAGTACTAATAGTTATCATATCTGGCATTACTATTACTGGTATATGTGGTGCTGTATGACCTTGATGTCTAGCACATTTTTTTGTTATAACCATTAACCATTATTACTGGTATAATCATAATTTTTATTATTTTCATTTTAGCATATTTGTGATTATGATATTAAGATTCATTTTTACAATTATATTTCTTTTATATGTCATTTTTATTATTATCATAATTGATAGTCTGGTTGTGCCTTATTCTCATCAGTATTATAATTTACTGTATTTTAGTTATTCTTACTGTTGTTGTTTTTACTCTTTTTTTTTTACTTACTATCATTATTATTATTACTATTATTATTATTATTATTATTATTATCATTATTATCACATGACAAAAATATCTGCTACCTAACACTGCTAAGAGAATGCCCAAAATACCCTCACACAGCCTGAGTTCTTAACGTCCGTTTTCTGTAAGTTATCATTATTATTATTATTGTTATCATTATTACCATTTTTATCACTATTGCTATTATTATTACTTTTATTGTTTTTATTACCATTGTTATCATTATTATCATTATTATTATTATTATTATTATTATTATTATTATTATTATTATTATTATTATCTTTATTATTATTATTATCATTATTGTTATGATTGTTATCATTATTATTGTTATTGCTATCGTTATGATTATTACGTTATTATTATTATTTTTTATTATCATTTATTATTATCATTATTATTATTATTATTATTATCACACACATCTATATGTATTTATAGTAAGAGGGAGAGAGGAAGAGAGATATAACTGCAGATATATACATATACTGTTATTATTTTCATTACTACTGCTACTACTACAATTAGTATTATTGTTGATATTATTATTATCATTATGATTTTAGTTATGATTATTACCATTGTTAGTGTCATTGTAATTGTATTTTTTAATTGTTATCTTTATTACCATTATTTGGTTGTTGTTAGTATTATTATCATTATTATTATTGTTGATATTATTGTTTTTTATTATTATTATCCTTCTTATTCTTATTATCATTGTTATTATTATTGTTATTATCATTCTTGCTTTTTGTTATTATTATTATTTTTTTATTGTTATTGTTCTTATTTTGATTATTGGTATTATTATTATTTTATCATTATTAATATTGTTATTATTATTATTATTATTATTATTATATTATTATTATATTATTATATTTTATTATTATTATTATTATTATTATTATTATTATTATTATTATTATTATTATTATTATTATTATTATTATTATTATTATTATTATTAGCATTGTTATTATCCTTATCATCATCATTATCATTATTGAGAATAATTAGATTATTTTCATTATTATTACTACTATTATTATTATTTATCATTATCATTATTATTATTATTATTATTTATTATTATTATTATTATTATTATTATAATTACATTATCATTATCATTATTATTGTTATTATTATTATTATTTATTATTATTATTATTATTATTATTATTATTATTATTATTATTATTATATTATTATTATATCATTATTATCATTATCATTATTATTATTATCATTATTTATTATTATTATTATTATTATCATTCATCATCATCATTATTACTATGCATTACTGTGTAAAGTAATGAAAAGGGATCCTTATGATAAGAATCGAAGAAAAGCTATGGTAGTTAGATGCGTAAAAAAGTACCACGTAATGATGTAAGTATAAATGGGAGACCTATTGTTACATATAATGTTTTAAATGAATATAGAGAAAGATATGCGTCTTTGTTTATACATTCATATTCATTTTGATATGATGATATCCGTAAACAGAAGTATAATGCAAGATATTGTTTTTATTCAAATTGTCCGCCATGATAATCCGTCAACTTTCTTCTTCAGAAAATATATACCTCCCTAAAATAAATGAATTTGAAAGAAATATACCCCCTAGTAATTCTAAATTAATTACAGGTATTTTTCAGTAATAATTCAAAATGATTCATCTTTTACACGAAAGAATCATCTTTTTGGGTCCGTGTCCCTAACGCCTTCTTTCTGGTCGTGCTCCCATACACGAGGTGAGGAACGCGACGTCGACTCCTATTTAACGGGAAATTTAAGGGTGCACATCGTCGAAGAGTGAGTGTTTGTGACCATAAGTATCGAAGGAGAGATTCTATCACGTTAATGGAAGTCGGAATGGACGAAAAGAGTGAGAAAAGGAAGTAAAACGCGGAGTGTAAACAAATGTCCTCCGCCATGTGTTGTTTCGTGGGAAGCGGCTGAGGGCGAGCGAGTGCGAGGGACTGGTGTGGGACCTTCTGTTTACGTGGAAAGGACGCTTTTTTGCTAAAATGTGGTTAATTTTTCGGATTTGTGAATTGGCATTTTCCAGATAGTATGTAAATCGGATTTATTTAGGAGTCTCGTGTTCCTTCACCTCGCAGTCACGGCCGACAGTCTCGATGTTTTAGACTCCTTAGCGGGGTAATTAGCCGGTAAAACGAGGTGAAATAGGGATTTAGGAAGGAAGGGAGGCTTTTTGTAGTTCAGCACCGTCTTTTAGCTTTGAATTTATTGTTCCTTATGCGTTTTGGGACCTTGTACTGGGCGTGAATCTCGTTTGTTTTTTTTCATCTCTCGATACATACCCTGCGTTCACGTGGGCTAAGGGATAGACCTGATGAAACGTTGAACGAAGCGTTTGCGTGGCGAACAGGGCGAAGGTTGGAGGAAGTTCGGTTTGCCTCGCAGCCCGTTTGTAAACAACCAGAGTGGCTGCCAACTTAAGAGCCTCAGAAGTATCTGTGCGAACTGCAACGTGTCATTTTTCCTTTCTATCTTTGATACTTGCTAAAATGTGCGTTATAGGAATCGTCATCAGGTGTACTTTAATTACATTTTTAATTAGTAAAGTAAATAATCTCTCGTGATGCATCTCGGCAATGTTTGCTGCTGCTAATAATAATCAGCGGATAGGTGCATTGCACGGTGAAACTGTTCACTCTTGAGCGTTTTGGGACAGGGTGAAGCGCACCGTGCAGAAATGTTTGTGTGAACACATGGATAGATAAGTAATGGTATTATATTAGTGACCACACCCTTATGAGATGAATTATGTTACTCCAGCCACTCTCAGGAAATCCACAAACATTGCTGTATAAACTCAAAACTTTCTTTATCCATGGGCTTTGGCTCCAGACCCCAATCGGGGGCTCTGCACCTGGACTCCCACCAGAACCAGATGGCTGTGGACTTGCTCACCCCCTGGCAGTAGTCACAACCTATTTTCATTTCTGATAACTTTTGCTGCTGCAGATTATTTCAAATATTTGATTTTCATCTCCCTTTATTAATGATGGTGGTATTGCATCTTCCTGTAAATGTGTACAAAAGTTTTGTCTTGTACAATTTTTCAACTTTTAAAGGGAATACCTGAAATGAAAGTGCCAGTATTTCCATCCCTCACAGGCAAAGCTTACTTTGTACCTTGGGGCTGTGTGAAACTAACCAAACCAAACAATAGCATAAAAGTACAAGAAACTATGGAATCTGTGCTCATTATGCAGTATGAGAAATACCTTTTGCATGGTGAACCACAGAACTTCTCTTCACTTTTGTCTACTGTCTACTATCTTTAGAATAGGTACTTCATCTAAGGAGGTTGTCATGTCTTCATTCTTCATTCAGGATTGATATTTATTAATACCTTCAGTCAGACTGAGGTTTTCAACTGGTACTGTGGTTAGACCGCGACGCACGGATGGAGGGAAACGGACACCACCATCTTAAAGAGCATAAGAAAAAAAAAAGGAGAAACTGTATGGTGCAGCAATTCATACTTACCAGTAAATGATGAAAATGTCTTGCTGCATAGCACCGTTCTAAGTGTCCATGCTCCCAGCCTTAGTTCTCAATGTCTTGTTTTCAATAAGTTGGCATGAAGTGCTAATAAACTAGAGCCTAGCAAATTTGTAAGATCATGCAAAAGAGTACAAGGTCCAGTTTTCCAAGTTTTTTTTTTTTTTTTTTAGTCTGGGTGCGATGTACAGATAAAGATTTGTGTGATAGTAGTAATTCTGACAACCTGGGGATACATGGAGTTTTTGGCTAATAAGTAAATTCAAAATTTTTGAAGTGTAAAATGTATAGAAATCAGGTTAATCTGATAACAAATATCTTTATAAACTTTGTATGGTAATTTGGAACAAAATTACTTTTTTCAAGAAGATATTTAAAGCCGTAGTGGTGCACTCTGCTACTGTAGTGTTGGATAGAAATGGATTTTTAGAACCTAGGTTGATTTTATTGCGAGTATTGATAGGACTCTCAGTCTTGCATTATATGCTATTTATAGAATTACTACATTCAGCAGAATTAAAATGAACTTTATTTACAGATGGTTGACTTTGAAGATGGACAAGGAGCCCCAAAGGGGAGGTGGAGGCCCTGAACTGCCAGAGATCAAGCTCTTCGGCAAATGGTCCCTAGATGAGGTCCAGCTCAGCGACATGTCCTCCAGGTTAGTTGCAGTTAAGTTTTTTATAGCTCTTGCACATTGTGATTTGCTCGCATTAAATGTTATCTTTATATTGGTAGATGAAATTCTACAATTTTGCTTTACAGGATCAATCGCTGTGAGAATACTATGCAAGTACTTGCCCACTTGCTGGTCAGGCCAATTGTCCATGAACGACCCGCAGAGTGGGGCAAGTACTTGGCATAGTACTTCTTCACAGCGATGTAATCCTGTAAAGCAAAATTGTAAGGAATTTCATCTACCAATATAAAGATAACATTTAATGCGAGCAAATCACAATGTGCAAGAGCTATAAAAAATTTAACTGCAACTAACCTGGAGGGACATGTCGCTGAGCTGGACCTCATCTAGGGACCATTTGCCGAAGAGCTTGATCTCTGGCAGTTCAGGGGCCTCCACCTCCCCCTTGGGGGCTCCTTGTCCATCTTCAAAGTCAACCATCTGTAAATAAAGTTCATTTTAATTCTGCTGGAATGTAGTAATTCTATAAATAGCATATAATTGCAAGACTGAGAGGTCCTATCAATACTCGCAATAAAATCAACCTAGGTTCTAAGAACATCCCATTTCTATCCAACACTACAGTAGCAGAGTGCACCACTACGGCTTTAAATATCTTTCTTGAAAAAAGTAATTTTTGTTCCAAATTACCATACAAAGTTTATAAAGATATTTGTTATCAGAGTTTAACCTGATTTCTATACATTTTACACTTCAAAATTTTGAATTTACTTATTAGCCAAAAACTCCATGTATCCCCAGGTTTTGTCAGAATTACTACTATCACACAATCTTTATCTGTACATGGCCCCAGACTAAAAAAAAAAAAAAAAACTTGGAAAACTGGACCTTGTACTCTTTTGCATGATCTTACAAATTTGCTAGGCTCTAGTTTATTAGCACTTCATGCCAACTTATTGAAAACAAGACATTGAGAACTAAGGCTGTGGGAGCATGGACACTTAGAACGGTGCTATGCAGCAGACATTTTCATCATTTACTGGTAAGTATGAAGTTGCTGCACCATACAGTTTCTCCTTGTTTTTTTTTCTTATGCTCTTTAAGATGGTGGTGTCCGTTTCCCTCCATCTCCGTGCGTCGCGGTCTAACCACAGTACCAGTTTGAAAACCTCAGACTGAAGGTATTTAATAAATATCAATCCTGAATGAAGAATGAAGACATGACAACCTCCTTAGATGAAGTACCTATTCTAAAGATAGTAGACAGTAGACAAAAGTGAAGAGAAGTTCTGTGGTTCACCATGCAAAAGGTATTTCTCATACTGCATAATGAGCACAGATTCCATAGTTTCTTGTACTTTTATGCTATTGTTTGGTTTGGTTAGTTTCACACAGCCCCAAGGTACAAAGTAAGCTTTGCCTGTGAGGGATGGAAATACTGGCACTTTCATTTCAGGTATTCCCTTTAAAAGTTGAAAAATTGTACAAGACAAAACTTTTGTACACATTTACAGGAAGATGCAATACCACCATCATTAATAAAGGGAGATGAAAATCAAATATTTGAAATAATCTGCAGCAGCAAAAGTTATCAAATGAAAATAGGTTGTGACTACTGCCAGGGGGTGAGCAAGTCCACAGCCATCTGGTTCTGGTGGGGGTCCAGGTGCAGAGTCCCCGATTGGGGTCTGGAGCCAAAGCCATGGATAAAGAAAGTTTTGAGTTTATACAGCAATGTTTGTGGATTTCCTGAGAGTGGCTGGAGTAACATAATTCATCTCATAAGGGTGTGGTCACTAATATAATACCATTACTTATCTATCCATGTGTTCACACAAACATTTCTGCACGGTGCGCTTCACCCTGTCCCAAAACGCTCAAGAGTGAACAGTTTCACCGCGCAATGCACCTATCCGCTGATTATTATTAGCAGCAGCAAACACTGCCGAGACGCATCACGAGAGATTATTTACTTTACTAATTAAAAATGTAATGAAAGTACATGCTGATGACGATTCCTATAACGCACATTTTAGCAAGTATCAAAGATAGAAAGGAAAAATGACACGTTGCAGTTCGCACAGATACTTCTGAGGCTCTAAGTTGGCAGCCACTTTGCTTGTTTACAAACGGGCTGCGAGGCAAACCGAACTTCCTCACCTTCGCCCTGTTCGCCACGCAAACGCTTCGTTCAAACGTTTCATCAGGTCTATCCTTAGCCCACGTGAACGCAGGGTATGTATCGAGAGATGAAAAACAAACGAGATTCACGGCCAGCACAAGGTCCCAAAACGCATAAGGAACAATAAATTCAAAGCTAAAAAACGGTGCTGAACTACAAAAAGCCTCCCTTCCTTCCTAAATCCCTATTTCACCTCGTTTTACCGGCTAAATTACCCGCTAAGGAGTAAAACATCGAGACTGTCGGCCGTGACTGCGAGGTGAAGGAACACGAGATTCCTAAATAAATCCGATTTA